TGGCAGGGGTAACGAAATATATCGGCTGTTCTCTAAGTGTTTCTTAATGCGTTGGCCATCGGAATATAATATAACAGTACATAACTCATAAGCTTGATAGATATGTGACGAGTTTCACAGGCACAATCCTATTTTAAATACTATGGCTTTTGGCAGTTTTGCATCATATGTGCAGTAAAAGCCCCATTTTTCTACTTCCTCAACGTGTAAAACGCGAAAAAACTTTATTAATAAGAACAAAAATTTGTAATAGTAAACACTCAGTGTATTTTATTATAAAGGATTTTCGTTTTTCTACTGCTCCGTAGTTCGTGTGCTCCGTGCTCCGTGTGCTCCGTGCTCCGTGTGCTCCGTACTCCGTGCTCCGTGTTTTACTAATAGCCAATATCCACAGTCGTCAGTAGCACTGCAGCAAAGGGTGGGATAAAACGCGGATACGGACGGACGGACAAAAATAATAAAATGCGGATGGCGGACAAAAAAAATAAAATGCGGATGGCGCAACAATCAAATGCATAATAAAATAGTTTATTTAATGAAAACATTAAAATATAAAGTATTAGTATAAATTTTGCTTATTAAATGAGCTTTCGCACGTTCTGATTGGCTAGTTGACTGGTAAATCTGACGCATTATTTAATTACCAGCTGACAAGTAAATAAATGCTTTTGAAAAAGAATTCGGCAAAATTGGTTTCAAAATCGACGAAATATTGAAAAAATCGTCCCCAGAAAACGAAAGCACAAAATTTTGTATCTAACTTGAAAGGTAGGATTCATTGATTATTTTACTGTGTCAAACATATCCACGGAGAATTTAAAACTTATTTAAAACTCCGAAACATTCACTTCAAACAAACAGCAAAAACTATCCTGACGGTTGGGCAAAACCGTGCCGTGATATTCTTTTAAAACCATTTTGTTTTATATCCTGTAGATATCTCAATTTGTACGATACTATTTATTTTGATATGTCATGTATGTATGTATGTATGTATGTAAACTTTTATTTAAAAGCAAAAAGGAAAAAACACGACGCTAGCCTCATCAGCTACAAGCTGGTTTCCATGAGAGGCGTCGGAACACACTTGAATAAATAAAGTTATTTACAAGATTACGAAGAAATAAGTAAGTTATGTATCAAGACTATTAATATTCATTTTAAAGGTATATTCAGATTGAGCTAGTTTTGCTTACAAAGGGAGGCTATTCCAAATTTCGCCCCGCTAAATTTAAAGCTATTTTTGAGGAGTTCTCTTTTGGGATGTGGGAGAACCAAATCAGTACTCGAATTTCTAAGATTATAATGAATTTCCAGAGCACTAATCCTAGTGAACGATTCTTTCAAACTCGATGCACCTTGATTATTTAAAATTCTATACATTAAGATTGCTTTATTCCTTTTAGTCTCACAACGGTGCTTCCCAACCAAGAGTTTCAAGAACGTCAGCCGATGGAATTTCATAACTAGCACCGGCAATTATTCTACCCGCGCGATTTTTGAAAATTTTTCCTTTAAATAAGCACAACAATTATCCCATAGGGGAGAACAGTAATCAAAATATGGCTGTATAAGGGCGTTATAAATCAATCTCATAGTTTAAATAGGGACAAACGGCTTGATTCGTTTCATAACTGCTATTCCAGCGCCCACTTTTTTGCATATTTTCTCAATATGTTTGTCCCAGAGTAATCTTTTATCAATTATCACTCCTAAGCATTCAAAGGAGTCGGTTGAAGGGATCGTTTTCCCATTCAGCATTACTGGGGAATCTCGAACCTTTTCTTTTAGATTTTGTGCCGATCCAATGATCATTACCTTCGTTTTGGTGGGGTGGGGTGGGGTGGTGTTGTAACTTGTAAGTTATTTATAGCGAGCCATTTACTAATTTGGTTTAAATCGGAATTTAATTTCTCTATTAGATCTGCATATACATTAGAAGATGCAAATATCTGGGTGTCATCAGCATATAAGCGGAGAGTAGTTTTACTGAGACACTCTGGTAGATCATTTATGGAGAGTAAGAAAAGCAATGGTCCTAGAATAGAGCCCTGCGGCACACCGGTTATAATCTTTTTAGGAGAGGAAGACTGCCCATTAATATTGCACACCTGTTCTCTATTCATAAGGTACGGCTCAAACCAGCCTACAATCGTGGACAAAACCTGTTAATAAAACTCGCAGTTATGTACATTTTTGTTCAATATTCGTTAATACATGCGCATCACGCCACATGGGCCCCCTCTCCCCCCGGAACAATGTTGCAGTAATGGGTCTATAGTGTGGGGATGGCGAATCCAACATTGAATGGGGGAAAGGGGGGCAGAATGTGGAATACAATTTGGTTAATGCAATTTCATTATGATATTAATTAGTTTTATTAACAGTTTTGTCCACGATTGTCTGTGAAGTGTTCCACAAGAAAGCGCACGTCCATTCGGCCAGCAATGTTCCTCAACATACATGTGTATTGATGAAAACACTAAAAATAATTGTTTACATTATTGGAACATGAAATTGGATCTAGTTTCTATTGATGTTGCAAAATAAATAGCTTAATACTTTCAAGAAATTAACATTATATAATTAGGTTGTTTGTCTCAGATTTATATTACTATTAATACCCTAAAAATAGATTTGTAAGAATGACGTCGCATGCATATTATTAGACCACGGTTAACCACGGTTAACCATTCTCTAAAATTGCATTAGAAACACTGAAATAATACTTTTATATACTTTGCTTTATCCAAGCTGGTATATATGCTTTATTATCTGCAGGTAACGTCAAATTAAGTGTTATATCTTGCCTGGATTTGGCTAAAATACGACGGATAATGACGGTTAACCACTAGAATTAAACACAGATCATACTTTGTTTACTTTATGCAATTTTCGTTTAAACATCATGAACAGCTACAAAATATGCGTTTTCAAGTGTTTTCGATTATGGATTTGCTTTCTTTGATTGACAAAATACTCTAAAGCTTTGGGAACATGAAGGTTGGAAAATAAAACTATGTATATTAAGGGAAAATTCTAACACACTATTCTGGTTGACCGTGGTTAACCGTGAGATTAATATGACAAAATTAATTAAGTCGATGTCGGGCAAATATTTCAATGCTCTCATGCCAGCGCTCCGACAGCAGTTTGATTCGTGTAAAATACGTTAAAACTACCATGCTGTAAGTTTATTCACATGCGAATTATATATAGCTTCATGAAATAAGAAATAACCGATTATTTGGAACAGAACTTTCTGCAGCTTACACGCATATTAATTAATTAACTCTATATTTCACAAGCAGTATGCATTAATAAAATTTATTATATAAAGTCAATATCGAATTCTCTTCCCTTTTCTATTTACAACAAGTTCAATGCGATTACTCATGCTTTCAATGATTTTGTCAATTACAATGTTATCAAAATTGAGTATCGTAGATTGAACTTGTGCGGAAAATTCTTTAAAATTTTCTTTCTTTATATTTTGTACAATTGCATCATTGTTCAGTTGATTTTTAACGAGGTGAAATAGATTTTCGATCGGGTTTAGATCTGGACTACGTGCCGGTATTGATAGTAATTTTGCTCGTATGGATTTCATTGCCGTTTTCGCCGCTGCACTATTTTGACTAGGATCCCCATCCTGCAGCCAGAGACGAGAGCGACCTTTTCATGCCTTTTTGAACATTTGGGGAAATTCTCTGAGCACCAGATCTTTAAAATACGGCCCATCCAACTTATTATACTGATCGCATAGCACAACGCCTGGCCCATGGCTTATTGCAACCATCATTTTGACAAGCTTCCCCCCAGATCCTTTGTGACTGCCCTTGGCCGTGCATCCTCTATCCATGCCTTCATTAGGTTTTCTCCAGATTCTGCCTTTTGGTGCTTTGGCCTCGTCCGCTGGATTTGTTTTGTGTGTAAAGCTAACTCCATCCAGATAAAACGCTATTTGCTTTGTCCAAACCTCACTGCTGTAATCCTTTTTCATAATTTTTGCAAAGTTATATCCCTTTCGAATATCAGTCTTACTTAATATTCCTTTTTTCCTTGCTTGCAGATAATGGTATCCATTTTATTCAAAAAACGCCGCAATGTGCGGGAAGAAATATCCTTTGGGTTTATTCCTGAGTTGAGAAGCAATTTTTTAGAAGTAAAATTGCTATTTTCCTCTCTTAAAATATTAATATTTCGCAGAACAGAGCGTTTTTGTCTTAAAGTCAGTTTCTCAGGCCTGCCCCCACCTCTTTCGTTTTCTGCTTTTGTTTGAAATCCTTTCTAAATTTCTCATTTCTCATTTCAAAACTGTATGCATTCCAGTTTTCCCCACTAGTTTTATGTATGCTCTTTTTTCTGCTGAAAACTTTCCAGTAAACACCATGTTTAATACAATTTTTAGCATTATACACTGGATGTCTATGACGTCATTAATTGTACAATAATTACATGTAATAGGTACAACATGTATGATGTAATACTAACGTCATATGAACCTTAGTACATCATTCCAGTACCCTTAACTGCTTTTCAAGCGTTCGAAATTATGGACATATCAGTCATTACAGGTCAGACAATCGTGGACAAAACCTGTTAATAAAACTCGCAGTTATGTACATTTTTGTTCAATATTCGTTAATACATGCGCATCATGCCACATAGGCCCCCTCTCCCCCCGGGACAATGTTGCAGTAATGGGTCTATAGTGTGGGGATGGCGAATCCAACATTGAATGGGGGAAAGGGGGGCAGAATGTGGAATACAATTTGGTTAATGCAATTTCATTATGATATTAATTAGTTTTATGTTATTTCGTCTCATTCGCTTAACTTATTTAGCACATGATTTTGAGACTCATCTTTCACTCAATCTGCATTTGCATGATTACCATATCAAGCTTTATCAATTCGATATCTGCAGTGAGCAAATTACATTGGCAGTTAGTGGCAGATCCTTGTGAATATAGTGCAAGAAATAGAAGTAGATCTCACCTCATCTTGTCCCACAGAAAAGATTTCATTCTCATGTTTATGTTTAGTTTTTCCACAGGCACTTGAAAAGTTGACTCTGGTGTTGTGTTATCGCCATTTGACGTCTTTGAGTCCTTTGCGAAATTACCACTTATTGAAGTCAAGCAGACTTTAATCAGCATGTCAGCTAACTCCAAACTAGTCGTTCCTTTCAGTATTGGGATGTTTACCGGGATACCATGTTAATGTTAAGTCCAGATAAGAGCAAGTAAACATTTTAGAACTACCCCCAGGAGAAGTCCAAACACCAAGCAATTTAACACCATTTTCAACAAAATGTTTCAGGATTCTAGGTTTCCAGCCCATCGAAAACGTTTGCTGTCATAACAAGATATGAGCAAACTTGGTGTTTATTTTATATTTCATAAAAATATGCAAATTAGCACATTTATTTGAAGTATTTGAAGAGCTCACTTTTAAATGACCCGCCGTCATTTTGCCAGCACCTAAAAGGAAAAGAGCTACGTTGATTTCTTGGGATGGTAAATTATTTAGCAAAATTTATTCCTGATTTAGCTCACAAGACAAGCAAAATAAGAGAGCTGCTTAAAGAAAAGAACGAATAGACATGGATGCCAGAGCATCAAAAATGCTTTGATGAAGTAAAAATGGTGTGTTCCATGGAACCAACACAGCAGTCAATGTGGCCTTGGCGCAGTTTGCCTGGAAGATAAAAAAAAAACAGTTGCATATATTTCGCGGACACTCGGCGAAGTGGAAAAAGATATGCACAAATTTAAAAAGAACTATTAGCAATGTGTATGCATTTGAGTGGTTCCATCAATATATATATATATATATGGTTGGACTGTGAATAGAAAAGTGATCACAAGCCATTGGGATCCATATTTTGCAAACCACTCCATGAAAATTTGTTACGTCTGCAGTGAATGCTTCTCAAGCTACAAAGATATGATCTTAAAGTAACCTACAAAAAGGGAAAGCAGCTCTACATTGCAGATACTCTTAGTCATGCATGTGTCAATGGCACAGATCCAGAAACCCAATTCGAAGATCTAGCAGTCCACATGACCATCCCAATATCAGAAGAAAAAAGAAACTAAAAGCAGCAACTCTTGCCGACCCTAATCTGGTATTACTACGCAAAGTGATATTGGAAGGATAGCCAGGGAATAAACAAGAAGTTGATCCCAGCATAAAGCATTATTGGGACTTTTCAGAAACACTCTCCATCTATGATATTATTTTTAGGGGAGAAAATATTGTCATTCCAGATTCAAAGGTCCGGTTCTTGACACAATTCACTCTGCAATTTAAGCAACTGCCAACTTTCTGTTTTGAAGAATCAAACAGCCAGCTACGAAATCTTGTCAAACTCAACAGCAAACAGTGAAAGTAAATCTTCCGGAGCTAGCTTCTACTCTGCCTTTGGCTGAAAATTATTTATCCTCAATCTTAACATTCCTTCAGTTAAAGGTATTGTGCGGGGGAAGCGAGCAGTGAGAATATAGGACTAAAAGATCAACAAATTTGGGACTCAGAAACTGAAAGCAAACAATGAAATTTTTTTCACAAATTTAATTCAAACATTGAACAACTAACTTCAGAACAAAATAATTAGAAACAACACCACTTACATATCCTTCAATATCTGCCAGGAGAGGAAACTCAGAAATAATAGCCCTGCAAACATTCCATCGCTGGTCTGGTGTTGGAGAACTAAAATGAAAATAATTTTAATAATTCTCTATGATGATGACATTTGAGAAATATGAAACATTTTCCATGATGATATACAGTTTATATATGAAAACTAGAAATTGTGTAAAAACCCGATGCCCGAAGAATAGAGTCAGTCTGAGTTCAAGACTCTCCTCTTGACAAGTAAAATTATAATATAGTAATTCTAGCATTAGACAGAGTAAATACTAAAAGTAGGGGACACAAGGGTACAGTAAGAAGCCAAAAGAGTTGATCATTTTGCACCAGGGATAGATTTACTGGGGGGTGGGGGTGCAGGGGTACCCCCCTAGCTTTGATCAAAGAAGTGTGGTGGGGTGCTATTTTCCCTACCAAAGACAGGGCAAGTGTCATTGATAAAAAAAATATATTAGAGACAGAATGAGATACAGTAATTTGGGTAATAACATAATGATAAGTGAATAACAGGTTTTTGTGATTAATGAGAAATCCGCTCCTAGGGTTTTGCTGAAGGTTTAGGATTGTAAGGACTTCAAACGTCTTCTGACTCAGTCAGCTTCCAAAAATGGAAGTGGTTCTGCGGGTCGCAATGTGAAAAGTTGCATCTGATAGTTCGTTAGTAATTGATTCTTTCTATGTACGTATATAGTGTATTTGTGTGACATTTAGGGATCGCAGTAATTGGCGCAAGCTGTTGCGATTGCCCTGCCAGTTTTTGTATTAACGTTGTTTAAATCTGGCAAAGTTAATAAATAAAATAAATAAAATAACAATTCAAATAAAGTAGCCAAGAAAGACTATAGCGACCAGTATCTAGTTGCAGTGGTATGTAATGTGATTTTTCATGGTCATGCAGTGCCCATGACTGACACCCATGGAGCACCAACCAACACTCACTCAGCTTTCAACCATGGAACTGGTTTTGTTGAAATATTTGCCAAAATACATCAGAACTACTTGAGCAACATGAAGCTCACATGAAGGAAAAGATAAAAGTGTGTTTGGAAAAAAATGGGATTAATTTTGAGGATGTTGATGGACTACAAGACATCATGAACTTCCCAGAAACTTCTTGGATGGACTTCTTAAAGACCACCAGGAGTAGGAATAATTATCTTTCTCAAGAGTTCAACATGGTGGTAAGTTTAATATGCTGTACGATTGCTCATCAGACCCTAAGGTCCACAGGACCGCTGGGAGATATAGAAGGGTGACAATATTTAAATATAATAGCCTACAAAATGATGGGGTGCTCCCCCAGTAGGAGTACAGACAACCTTGCCAAGCTATGGTCTTGATCTGTGCTCCTACCTCGCTTGAATTGAGACCCTAGTATTAGCTGGTCACATGACCCATTGTATTTTGGCAGATTTTATAACTTTTTATAATTCATTAATCACAAAAGGAAGAAAACAACTACTTATGCAGCCCCTTCCCAGAGACAAATTATCAAATCCACCAAAATATGACAGGTCATGTGAGTGGCTAATACTATAGGGTCTCAAATTGCCCGCCCACCATGGGGCACAGCTTTAGTTGAATTGCCAGGCTATCTGGTTAAGGGATAAAAATTCTGTATTTGCTCATCCTTCAACACAGCTTTAATCCACTTCGCAGCACCAATGAATGTTCTGCCATTGTATGAATATATTCGTTCTGGCCACCCTCTACACACAATGAAATGCTTAAGACTCAGAATAAATTCTGTTAGTTCCAAACTCGGCAAGAGGTCTATGTAAATGCCTCTTGTCAAACTGCAAGCATACAATAGCACATATGATTTCCCATCTTGTCCATTTCTCTTTCGACGTCGTATAGGACCAGCTTAATTGACTTCAATCACCTGATATGGATTGATGCCTTGTGTACAAGTGGTGTGTAGAACGCCGGTACTTTGTGTTGCATATGATGATAGCCTGTATCTCTTGGAACCATGGCACTGGTTACGAACCTTTCTAACCAGTCATCTTAGTCACAGTATCCAGTATCTTTGACACACTTCGGGCATTGTCATACCAATACCACCGTGTAGGGCAGCATGTGGGCTTCCTCTACGATTTTCTGGGCAAATATATGACTGTCCGAAATCAGGGTTCGTAGCGGTCTTTGAAATCCTTGAAATTCTTTAAATTGGAATGCAGGTCTTTGAGGTCTTTGAAAAGTCTTTAAATTGTGTGAAAAAGCGAAGAAAGTCTTTAAATTCTTTAGTGAGGAATTGATTATACGATTTCCTAGCTAAGAAAATAGATTGATTGAATCAAGATTTTCGCAAATATCGACAAAAATGCGCATTTTAGGATGCGATTTGACAGGACTAACTACTGGGTAAAAATGGTGCTTACACTCGCAATTTTTCGAAAGCTGATTGCTCTCAAAGGTCTTTGAAAAGTCTTTGAAAATAGGCAGAAAAAACTTTGAAAGTCTTTGAATTTTTTTGGTCTTGGAGACTAGAGAACCCTGGAAATGTAAATAGGGTACTCCCCTTGGATGTGACTGTGACATTCTAGAACACCTGTTTTGTTGGATTTGAGGTTTAGTGTAGTTGCGGTCTGTAGTATACTCAAATTATTCTGTAATATTCTATAGGCTATAGTTATGTAAATTAATCATTGTGTATTTAAGTAAACGAGTAATAGATTAAAGCACACTTTTATCTCGATATATTACATGGTGTCAGGTAGACTTGAATAACATTCAAAATGAATGAAATAAGAGGACCCGGTGAAATGGATTTCACCAGCCCACAAAATCTAGCAGAGACATGGAGACATAGCATGGAGTATTTACTTGATAGCGACATGCACCAGAAAAACCGAGCCACAGAAAGTCGCAATTGTCATGTGTATGATTGGTAAAGACGGGCAGGAAATTAAAGATATGTTCAAATTTGAAACTCGTGAAAATGGACAACAAGTGATCACGACAGCAATCCTTTTCGACAAATTCGAAGCACATTGTAAACCCAAGAAGAATCTCGTTGAACCGCATCGTTTCCTCGCAAGAGATCAAAACACTGGCGAGTTGGTAGATCAATATGTAACAGAACTAAAAACTTTAGCGGCGTCATGCGAGTGGGGAGACTTAAAGGACGATCTTATATGTAGTCGAATTGTAAGCGGCATATCTTCAAGAGTTGTTCTAGAACGACTTTTGAGAGAATCAGAATTGAAATTGGGCAAAGCTGTCGAGATTTGCAGAGCAGATGAATTATCAAGACAACAAATGAAGTTGTTTGGCAGTGAAGCGAATCATGTAAATCAAGTAAAATGCAGGGGAGTGAACCGTGTTCAGAACAAAAGTAAGTCAGACAAAACACAAGAAGTAAAGAAAGCTACTGAAGGGAAACATGAACACAAGCATAATGTGTGTGGTAATTGTGGTCTAATCCATCCAAAGGGACAATGTTTAGCTTATGGTAAACAATGTAATAAATGCAAAAAGATGAACCATTATGCAAGAATGTGCCGTTCAAGCAAAAGCGTAGACTCGTGTCGACAAGAGAAAAGTGACGAATATCTGTTTCTACAGACGGTCAAAGTTGAATCTGTCGATCAGGTTCGACAGTCTGAAACTGAACATGTAACACTGTCATTGAACAATCACGACATTCAATTAAAGCTGGATACGGGAGCTGAGGTAAACGTGATACCATACTCAACTTTCAAGCAAGTTGCAACAACTTCAAAGATAAAGCCGAAAGCCTGTTTGAGTGCCTATAATGGAGGAAATATCCCGGTCGAAGCTGTCTGCACGTTACAATGTCAATACAAAGGGACAATTCATAATTTGGAATTCTATATCACGAGCATCAAGAGTGAACCAGTTCTCAGTATTTCTGCATGCAAGAAACTTGGGCTTATAGAATTTGTCACCGTCATAGAGCATAAAGAAGGAACTGAAGCGTTTGCGAAGAGAGTCAAAACAGAATATCAGGATGTTTTCTCTGGAATCGGATGTTTAGAGCGGCCTTATCACATCGAGCTGAATTCTGCAGTGCAACCAGTTATAGTTCCCCCAAGACGAATTCCATTTGGTTTGGCAACCTCGTACCCAGGGTCCCGTGTTTAAAGGTTCTGGTGCACGTGGAGGGACCCTGGCAAACTGATTGCCAGGTTACCAAATAATCCAAAAATCTTGGAGTATTTGTCGACCTGGCCTTTTTTAGCATTGGCGTAACGGGGGGGGGCCTTTTTTAGCATTGGCGTGGGGAGACTCATAATAAAAAATATTTAACAAACTGCAAGTTTTTATCAAAGTCAGCTGTTTAAAAGGATTTTTACTGCACCTGTCGTACGATTTATCAAATTTTGATATCATAAGTGATATTTTGAAGTGGAAAGTCATTCAATTACTGGTTAATATCGAAGAATTTGAACTCATGATCCACCATCATGCCATGGAAATGTTTTTATAAATCTATATACTTAGCTCTGGTTAAAAAAACCAGGTACTGTATTTAAATACCACCATTAGGTAACAAATATATTCTCATACTGTAATGTTTACTCAAATTTGAATGTCTACAAATTGTTCTTTCCCATTGAAGTTTGCGGCTTCTTATGCTATGCTTTTCAAGCCATGGAAAGACTTCATGTCAATTTTAAAGTCCACTTGTAGGCGTAGCTTGGCTTTCTCTCAAATGGTTTGATCTTCTTCGGATCCTGTACTATTATTACTTGATAGTCTCTTCACATCTCAGATCTGAGACCTTGTTCAAAATTTTGTGAAAAGAATTTGATCACTTGAAGTCAAGAGGAGTCTCTTCTTGTTGATGTTGTTTCACGACCATCTTTGCATGATGATCATGCAGTTGCATACTTGCATCAAGAACACATGCAGCTAGCTCTATATATCATGTTTAAACCATAGAATCTATCATTGTTTGAAAACATTTACACCATAATTATTATTCAAACTGCCAAGATGACTAAGTATCAGACAAATTGAAAATTAAAGTTATACCATTTTCAAAACTGAATTGAATAGTCAAATTGTTAAATTATTAATTAAAATATTGTTTAATTTATATATTATATTAATACAGTAAATAATATTTAAGTTTGAGTAAACATTATATGCAGTATGAGAATATATTTGTTACATAATGGTAGTATTACACTACCTGATAGTGTTTTTTTTTATCCAGAGCTTTGCAGTATAGTATATAGATTTATTCATTTCTGTGGCGGATCATGAGTTCAAATTCTTCGATATTAACCAGTAATTGAATGACTTTCCACTTCAAATTATCATTTGTGATATCAAAATTTAATAAATCATGTACCAAGATCAAACATATTGGTTAACCCCTTATGCGGCAGCGCTCTCACCTTGACAAGTAAAATCATCTGGTGCTGCACATGAATCATCTGGCATTAGACAGAGTAAATAGTAAAGTTGGGCACAATGCGACTCAGTGGATTAACTGGACACATGGGCCAGTTAGGCCAGTTACCCATTAAGCCCCAGCATGATCTCCCCTTGAAGAGTAAAATCATCTGGTGTTGAACAGAGTAAAATAATAAAGTAGGGTGCAATGTGACTCAATGGGTTAAAATTTAAATGCCAGCCAATAAAAATCCTTTTAAATAGCTGACTTTGATAAAAACTTATATTTGTAAAATATTTTTGATTTTGAGTCCCCCCCCCCCAGTATGCCATTACCAAAAAAAGGCCAGGTCCAAGATTTTTGATTATTTGGTAACCTGGCAATCGCAGTTTGCGTTGAGTTAGTTGTTTCAAAATGTGACAGGCATATTATGTCAGCTGAAGATATGTTTGTGAGCTTTGAAATTTAGGATATACAGCATGCATATACCAGTACTTTTTTAAGATAATTACTGACCTTTGTGAGAAATAGGTACAAGTTCAATTCCAATTTGTTATGTTAGTTATATATTATAGTTTCTATTTTTGAATGATCTATTGCCAGTATGTATAGTCAGATTTTGAGCTGGGTTGTTCATATTGAATAAAGATCGCTAACTTTTTTTTAGGGGGGCTGAGAATAAATAGATTTTGTTCTTCATTTGCGAACTTGTCCAATAAAAGTGGGAAAGGGTGTTATATCATACCATTGATCACAGCCGTTGAACGGCAAAGCATGCATGTTTGTAGATAAGATTGTACTATATCTATTATAAAATTTAACTACAATGAACATATAGACCTTCACTCATCTGTGATGGGAAAGGGGGTTGAAAGAAACTTGAAACAATCGCAGAACAAGTCTGCAATTGAAGGACAATTTATTTGTTGACAATCCCTATTAATACAAGTATATAAAACTATATGAGGATTTTGTTTACACATTACTGTACATCATAATTATATGAATTATATATTTTAAATTTCTACATGCATGTCAAATCGAAAAATTCCACAATATAATAACATAGACATGTGCTTTAGAAGTGGTATTTTCAAAAATCAGCATCAATGATGCTGATAAAAAAAATAAGGACAGACAAAATCAATTTGAAAATTTAAGAACTGTATTTCAATAATAAAATATAGTTTTTTACATACAATTTATACACTTAATGCATAGCCATAGCCTTGCCAGTCAGGTTCTTTAAAATAATTAAAGTTGTCGTCTTTTTTATCCAATAATGAGTCCATTATAGGCTATAATTTATGTATCAAAGCATTCCTGTCAATATTAAATGGACTTTTAGAGATCTATCATAAATAGCCAATCTTTGATTGTGATTCATCTTTTTAAATTGTCAATTTTCATACTTCTTCCGTTCTTCAAATCCCTTCGATAGACAAGATTAGCCAAATTATGTAGATTGCCGCCGCCAGTACGTAGGTTAACGAAATTGTAAGAAGAATCTTTGTGTTTATATATATTTTATTTCATATTATGTATTTATTTGACTGCCATTCGCCCTTCGCGAAGTTTGCTTGCACAGTCACAGTGAAAGTGGCCATTGCCCCCCCGGATCATAAAGTTACAAATTACGTAATCTTCAAGATTTGTGACGTCACACAATCGGAGTTTGCCAGGGTCCCACTACGGGGACCCTGGGTACGAGGTTGTTGGTTTGGAGGATCGAGTCAAGAACACGCTAGATGAAATGTGCAACCAGGGTATAATCGTGGCAGTGGATCTACTGACCAACTGGGTAAATGTGATGGTCGTCGGAAAAGAAAAATACTGACAAATTGCGAATTTGTATAGACCCGCGGCCCCTTAATAAAGCAATCAAGCGAGAACATTACCATCTACCTACGATAGAAGAGATTACTACAAGACTGAGTGGAGCAAAGTATTTCTCTACTCTTGACGCAAGATCGGGATTTTGGCAAATTCCTTTAGACGAAGAGTGTTCATATCTTACAACTTTCGGAAACCTTTTGGAAGATATCATTATACACGTATGCCTTTCGGCATTCATAGTGGCCAGGAAGTATTCCACAAGAGGATAGATGAGCTTTTCCAAGATCTTGACGGTGTTGAGACTGACATTGGCGACATCCTGGTATGGGGCACTACAATAGAAGAGCACAACGAAAGGTTGGAGAAAGTTTTGCAGAGAGCAAGACAAAGCAATCTTAAGCTAAATCCTGACAAGTGCCAGATCAGACGCACCAAAGTTTTGTACATTGGGCATGTACTTACCATAGATGGAGTCAAGCCAGACGCATCTAAGTTAAAAGCGAAGCATGGAATTCAGCGTTTGCTCAGAATGGTGAATTATGTGGCGAAGTTCGCACCACATGTCTCAGAAGTAACGGCACCTCTACGCGAACTCCTCAAGAAAGATGTTGCGTGGCACTGGACTGAGCGTCATGAACAATAATTTCAACGTATCAAGCGTCTTTTAACAGAGACGAGTCCCGGAGTATTGAAGTATTACGATCCAAAGTTACCAGTAAAGCTGCAAGTAGATGCGTGCAAGTCTGGGTTGGGTGCAGTATTGATGCAAAACGGTTCACCAATAGTCTCTGTTAGCGAACGAGAAGCATAGGCTGAGTCGAAGTACGCTCAAATCGAGAAAGAATTATTGGCAGTTACGTTTGGTTGCGAGTGGTTTCATCAGTACATCTATGCCAAGAAAGTGTTGGTCGAGACGGATCACAGGCCACTCATTTCAATCATCTCTAAACCACTCAACAACGCGCCAGTAAGGTTGCAGCGCATGCTCCTGCGGTTACAGCACTATGACATCGACCTACGTTATAAACCTGGGAAAGAGCTGTATTCTGCAGATACACTCTCGAGGGCTCACCTTCCTACTTCTGACGACGATGACGAAGATCTTGTTCTGTGTGTGCACACGGCGATAGCAAACCTACCAGTGAGTGACAAGAAATTGGTAGAGTTGCGTCAGGAAACAGCTAATGACAGCATTATGGTCAAATTGACAAGAATAATTCAAGAAGTTGGCCCAACCACAAAAATGGAGTGTCAAAAGACGTCAGCAAGTTTTGGGCATATAGAGATGAATTGATAGCGGTTGATGGTCTGATTTTCAAGGGCGAATCTATCGTTGTTCCACGAACATTGCGGAAAAGTATTTTGGCACAGATTCATGAAGGACATCTCGGAATGGAGAGAAGTAAGCTCCAAGCTCGGGAATTGGTATTCTGGCCCGGTATGTCTAAGCAGATTGAAGATGTCGTGTCCAACTGTACGACGTGCCAACAGCTCAGGCTAAGCAATCCCAAAGAGCCGATGATTCCCCACGAAATCCCACAGAATCCTTGGCAAATCGTTGCTAGCGATTCGTTTGAGTGGAATGGTAGCTAATCTAGTAATTAACTAATCTAGTTGTTGATTACTGCAGTCGTTATTGGGAGATTGCAGTACTACACAGCACAAAGAGTACAGCAGTTATTAACAAGTTAAGAGAAATCTTTGCGAGACACGGAATACCGGAGACAGTGAAATCGGACAATGGTCCACAATAAAGTTCTGCCGAGTTCGATACGTTTGCAGCGAATTGGAAATTCTCCCACGTGACGTCAAGTCTGAAGTATCCACAGTCAAACGGGCTCACAGAAAAGACTGTGCAAACCGCCAAAAGAATGTTAGAGAAAGCCAAACATGATCGAAGAGATCCATACCTTGCTTTGTTAGAACAACCGCAATACACCCGTGGCTAGCTACAAATCACCTGCACAACTATCGATACATGGGAAGACGTCTGCGTTCACTTCTACCATGCACAACGAATCACTTAATTCCTGAAACAGTTTGTTATCGCGAAACACAAAGCATGTTCCAGAAAAAGCAGGCTGAGCAGAAATCCAATTATGACAAGTCGGCCGTGCCTTTACAACCATTAAAGACTGGTGAAGCAGTATGTGTCAAGCAGGAATGTGAATGGAGACCCTGGAAAGTGATCGAAATAGCAGATACGCCTCGGTATGATACGGTGATTTTGACTGATTTGGTTTCTCAACAGTATTCACCTCAATTGGATGAATATCTCGCCAATGGACGACTTGCACTTTAGAAAAATTTTAATCTGGGAGTAACAAAGGATATTTTCGGAAAGAAGTGATCAAAATTAGAAAAACTGCAAAGTTTGGTTGCAAAATGTTGTAAAATACAGAAAATATAGCCCTGCGAAGTTGGCAAATTTGTATACATTTCTATTACGTGCGGAAATTGGTAACTAATATAGTTACCAATTCACGTACGTAGTACAAAAGTATACAAATTTGCCAACTTTGAAGGGCTATATTTTCCGTATTTTACAACATTTCGCAACCAAACTTTGTAATATTACTAATTCAAGATGCTCTTTCTAGCTGTGGTGATAGATTTCGTTGTTCTTACTTAGATTAAAATTTAGTGTAAAGCGCAAGTCCATTCTTGAGTTGCTTGAGTAGATCAGTAAAACTCCAATCTTGCCATCCTTCGTTTCCACGAACTAAATTGGGTTTGATTCCTTTCAGCTTGTCTAAAGTCACGTCTGCGAGTTTACCCATTGTTTCGAGACTTTACATGTTGTATCTTAACTGTTTGTAAAAATCGTTTATTTTCTTTGGGTTCACTGCACTGATCAAGGGTAAGCTCATGATGTTTTGAACATACGCATTGACTACTTCCGAGGTTTGGCCGTACTCTTCGAGAATCTCCTTCACTTTCGAATACCCTTCTTCGGTAATGGAAGTCCGTCTATATCTGCTCGAATCGATGCTTCCAAAAGCTCTTTCAAATAGGCGAATTTTGCTAATGTTGGTAGTTTTGCTGAGTCAATTTCTGAATTTTCCCCAGAAGGGCAACCACGACTCAAATTTCCTGTTAAATTTAGTTATGGCAGTTTGGGTAGTTTAGTGCCCGATATTTTATTGTTTACACTAGCTTGATCTTGCTCGTCTTTCAACTTTTGCTCAAACACAGTCTTTTGTTGTAATAATTCTTGCTCAAACTTCATATTTTGTTGATGTGTCATCATACTTATCGCTTCTTTGCGCAAATCGATTTCTTTTGATTCTTTGAGTTAGCTTTCGTACACAATCATCAGTTTTAGCCAGGTCTTGTTCGAAAGTTGTGCCCCATGCAGCGCCTTTCGAAAACTTTTTCTCTTCGATGCTCTCTTTCTGCTCAATAACTATCTTAGGAATGCTTAGAATTGATGCTTTCTGACGCTCACAAGTTTCCCTTTAGTTTTTATCTTATACTTCATCAGTTTCACTGACCCGAAAGCTCAGAGCTTTAACTTTACTCACGAGCTCCGAAAGCAGTTTCTCCATGTCGATATAATATAGGTTTTATAATTGTATTTCTCAAGTAGCTTCGCCGTTTTTATCTCACTCTTTCCTGTTTAAAATCCTGTCCGGTAGGTGCCACTATATTGTAAATAAGCCTCCCTTTGCTTTCAATACGACATTTCACTTGTATCGTAATATAATATAAAACATAAAGTTCAAAATAGAAAATGTTTGTTTACTATTTCCCTCACAATTCACAACAGATCAACACCTTCTTCCTGAAAAAACTGACCATGGACCCCAGGGATACCCCCATGGACTTGTGACGTATAGCGACGTTACATGGACTTTATGTGCTTCAAATTGCAAACCTCGTGAAAAAATTGTTGAAATGATGTGGCACCAATATTTTAATTTTGGGATAGGTAATAGGACCTTTACATGCATCTTGGACCTGTGGTTTACTTATAATCATTATCTATCCAATTGAATTCTTCAACAGACCATGCCGTGAAATATTGTGTAAAGGTGCACAGGTATAATGCATGCACTGTTTTGTATCTTTTTATGTCAATCCATTGTAGAAATATCTTAATTGAAGTTAGTGTATAGCCATGTACTGTATGTAAAGTTATTACTTGGTAATTGATAGGTGTGATTTGATGATGCACATGAATTTATTGCAGGGTTGGATTTGACAATATTGTGATATTGTAAATTAGGAATTGGTAATAAGATTTGCACAGTCACTTGTGATTTTGTGTTGTGTAATTTTCCTGTATCACATTTGAGTAAATGGTTTTCGTAAATATATCTTCACAGGGTCTGGAAAATAGACCATGCAGTGAGATATTGTAAACTTAGTCCTTGTTGTTCGTTGTGTAATGTGTATATCTGTCCATCCACATGTGGAAAAGGCTATGTGAGGATTGTAAGTTTATTCCTTAGTATTTAAGTATAGATGCAGTTAGATTATGTACATACTCACAGGGTCTTGAAAGCAAACCATGCCGTAAATATGTGAATCCTATGGTTTGTGTCATGTATTTAACTATTGATAGGCAGTATAGGTAGATGTTGTACAATATACAAAAATGTGGTTTATAGAATCTGGCAGAACATTTAATTATGCCACAAGGGTAAACCTTATTTTAAATTAGATGCCTTAGACTAATAATCCCACTGGTTTGTGGGCTTGGGTAGATGTTTTGTACATTATACAAAAAATGTGGTGCCCAGGGTCTGGCAAAAAAATTTTTGACTGTACAGTATGACAGTCATTATGTAGTTAGTATATACTGGTTGAAAATGAAATTAATAACCTATTAAGGGACAGGGGCGGATCTAGGAATTTTCGTACGTTAGTCAAATTTTTTCCGAGTTGCTGCCATCCGGGGGGGGGGGGGGGCGGGGGTTTTAATTTATGTCTGTGGGGGTTGTAGCATTATAAGTTTTTCGTTGTTCGCCCGACAGCCGACGCGATTGTATTGTCACGATATTGTAGTGTCGTGCGATTGTCTGGAATTTTGTTTTACACATCGGCATGTTCTTTTAATAAATAAATTTTTGACCCTCCTGTCAACAAAACGTCACATTATATAACAAACGAATTGTCCGAAATTGTTATTAGTCAATATATTTAGTATAAAATAATGTTTTGTTCACACGTGGGACGCGCGAATCAGAACAGTAATGAATCGGAAAGTTACAGAATACACTGCATGGTTGTTGCTATTGTATAGTGATTAGTGGGAGGTTTTTTAGTGAGAGATTTTGCGAAATTAGGATAGTTCGTAGCGTCGAATAAAAGCTAAAAGAAACTATATTGTGTTGAGGATTATCTCGGGGGCAATTCTCAACAAGATTTCACACGAACAATCACAAAATCCGCTTACTTCTAGATATCGTATTACAACACAGCATAACACCGACCATGCAATCTCAAAATCTCCAGATTCTGTCACTACTAATACATCAATTAATATTGCCCGATACAAATATAAACGAACACAAAAGCGGTTTATACTTTATAGCTTTAGCTATGGTTATATACAGTTAATTTAAGCAGCCAAACCGCTCTTATATCTTATTACCACCGTCAATAAGCACACTTTAAGCAGGTTTTAAAAGCTTACTTAGTACCAGACTATGAACTAAAATATAAATATAATCTCCTAACCTTATCGCCGTACATTTCTATTGTGGTGGACGAGACCGAATTGAAATCGCTGGCGAGACTGGTTCTGGTGATATAGTTGCGGATAGACTTGGTATGAATAGCGGCTAAAAGCTCTTCGATATATCGATCTTGTAGTATTGATATGCTTTAAAAGATCTGTGTTCATCATTTCTAGACTGGACAGTCTGGTATAAACTTTATATTGCGGGAACCACTGAGTATTATTACACATACATTTTATATTGTCGTCGTACTTGTACGTGAATTTAATCTTCGCGGTGAATAAATTTTCCAAATGAGTCAGATGAGGCAAAAAGTATGAGCCAATGAGAGAAGAGAATTTGATCTTTTTCGACCAATCAGAACTTCAAATATTGCACAAATAAGGCAGACCCCCACGAAGATGAGGCAAAAAAGTTGAACCAATGAGAGAGGAGAATTCTCCTTCAATCAGCCAATCAGATACCTCATAGATGACGTAAATAAGGCAGACCCCCACGAAGATGAGGCAAAACCATTCTCAACCAATCAAATGGCCAGAATCTGCCTCAAGTAAGTCAAGGCCACTGAGCTTACAACCACTGAATGAAACTTGATAACTGGACTATTGTGAATATTAATTACACTTGCTATCACTGCAGGAAGGATTACAACTGGAGTACTGGACACTTTTATGAATCAGTAATTATCTGCGCAATTTTTACGTTAGTCGCGTGACTTATTTGACAACCCCTAGATCCGCCCCTGTTAAGGGATTCATCGGATTGCTCAGAAATGTCTTTTTTGCATATCAATTGTCGTAGTCTTCTTGGCAATTTTGATAAATTCAGAGTTTTAACTACTAATTTGTCAAATTCATTTTCTGTTATTGGACCATCCGAAACCTGGCTATGATTTCATCTCCAATCATCGCCAAGATAAAGTAGGTGGTGGAGTAGGCCTCTATATTAGAGAAAATTTTCAATATAAACTAATTTATGATTGTAATATCTCTAATCCTGAAGTAATCGAGTCTCTGTTTGTTGAAATTTTAAATCCCAATGGGAAAAACGTTATTGTAGGAAGTGTTTACCGCCCACCCAATCAAAATCTTGTTTCCTTCATAAATGAATTCGATAAAATTCTTTCAATTATCACAAAAGACAATAAACAATGCTACTTTATGGGTGATTGTAATTTGGATTTATTCCATTATGATCACCATGTATTTACACAAGAATTTATGGATTCTTTGTTTTCGCACATGTTTATCCCACTTATTAATAGGCCCACCCGATTAACCAGTTACTCAGCTACACTAATTGATAACATATTCACAAACTGTTTATCGCAAAATGGTGTAAATGGAATTATTCTGAACGATATTTCTGACCATTTGCCAGTGTTAGCAATTTCTAATACCAAGACCGTAGCATGTAAAAATGAGATCAATTATTATAAGCATGACTACAATGAGCTGAACTTTACCACATTTCAAAGAAAATTATCACAGGTTGATTGGAATGGTGTGTTAGTAGGGCAGGATCCGAATGAAATATATGATTCTTTCGCTGCAGAATATCACCGACATTTTGACGATTGCTTCCCCCTGGAAAACCGAAATCACCTTGGATTACCAAAGGTTTACTAGCTTCTGTTAGGAAAAAGAACAAACTGTACAAAAAATATTTTGCAATTCCCATTATAAGAGGTACAAAAACAAATTAAACCACTTAATTAGAATAGCGAAGAAACATTATTATGACAAAAACTTAGCTAATTCAAAGTGACATGAAAAACATGGCATTTAATTAATGAGGTTACAAATCTTAAAACCAAGAAGACTTCATTACCATCAATATTTAGATCTAATGATACAATGATTAGTGACCCTATTGCAATTGCCAACAGCTTTTGCAAATATTTCACTGAAATTGGCCCATCAATAGCCAGGAAGATTATTCCAACACATTGTTCATTTCATGATTACTTAGGACCGACCGCTAGCGAAACAATATTTCTTAAGCCAACCACCGCTACATGTGTCCTTTAAGATTGGAAAAGCAGCTGGTTATGATCACATACCCATGCATCTTATTAAAAGGTCATTTGAATTAATATCCGAACCATTAAAACATTTAATTAATATGTCTCTTGAGACAGGAATATTTCCAGATCAACTAAAAGTAGCCAAAATAATTCCCATTTTCAAGACTGGCGAAGCAGATATATTCACAAATTATAGGCCAATTTCCATCCTATCAAGCTTTTCAAAAATTTATGAAAGAGTCTTGTATAATCGTTTAGTAGAATTTATATTGATAAGCTTGAAATTCTTTATCAATATCAATTTGGCTTTCGCTCAAATTATTCAACCAATTTTGCTCTTACTGATCTGATAAATAAAATTGCAACTGCTATTGACAGAAAAGAAATAACTGTTGGCGTTTTCTTAGATTTGTCTAAAGCGTTTGACACTGTTAATCATGATATTCTATTCTCTAAGCTTGAACGTTATGGCATCCGTGGAGTAGCGTTAAATTGGATTAAGAGCTATTTTGAGAATCGAAAACAATTTGTCCAGTTTAATAATGTTTCTTCTACTCAAAAGCTTATACAGTGTGGTGTACCTCAAGGATCAATATTAGGTCCATTGTTTTTTATTCTATATGTAAATGATCTCCCTAATGCCTTACAATTGGCAAAGCCTCTATTATTTGCAGATGATACTAGCATCTGTTACTCACATTCGGATCCTGCAGTGCTGGTCACAGTATTAAATGAAGCGATACAAAACATTGACTTACGGATGAAGACTAATAAATTGTCCGTTAACATTGACAAAACTAATTATGTTATTTTCCAATCTAAACAAAAGAAAATTACACAAGATTTGTCCCTCTCAATTGATGACAAATTGATCACAAATTGATCACCCGAAAACAGCAGAGGTCAAATTCCTTGGTGTCCTGCTGGCTGAAAACCTTTAATGGAAACCTCATATTAACTATGTTTGTAATAAGATTTCGAAGTCAATAGGTGTAATTTACCAGGCTCGTTTAACTTGTCGCCTAGTACTAAACTATTGTTGTATTATACTTTAATTTACCTGTATCTTAACTATTGCAATATCGTCTGGTTGTCTACATATGTTACTAACCTACAATGCATACTTATCCTTCAGAAACGAATTGTGATATTACTGACAAATTCTGGTTTTTCTGCTCATACTGCTCCGCTCTTTAATAAACTAAATTTGCTTGATATTTATAAGATAAACTCCTTACACACTGGCAGATTCATGTTTTATCATAATAAATTACTTCCACCCTGCTTTCTCAATCTATTTAATGCAAACAAACAAGTTCATAACTATAACACAAGAAATGTCGACTCGTATCGATCTCATGCATGTAGAACTAATATATAACAATTCACAATGGTCCAAAACTGTGGAATTCCCTCCTTGATACCGTTGGAAAGGCAGAGACATCAAGTTCCTTCAGGAATAGAATAATGAAATACTTATTTGATTCATGATCTTATTGATATGCTTAAGTTCCTATTGCTTGGTCAGATACTCTATATTTCTATATACCTAATTCAATTCAAAGTTTCAAGCAGACATCCTATTCATAAGCCCTATGGTTTCTGGGTGACTCCTTGCCACTGACATCATGAATCAATAATTATATTTACTATCTTTGTACTCTATACATAGTTATTTCTGTTCTTGAATGATATGTAAATGGTGTTGGTGGCGAATTAAATTATTATTATTATTATATAGATTAATACTGTTAAGTAATATATATTATTATATGGCAAGTATTTGTTTTGACGAATCGTGCAATTTGATTGGCTGCTGACGAGGCAGGATTGCCCAGCAACGAGAGTCGAGTTTCAAACAGCAAAATGTGTCTAAAAGTCTTTCAAAACTATTCAAAATGAAGAAAAATAAACCTAAACTAGAGAAAAGGAGCAACTGCTGTGGTTAAAGAACTTTCTCCATACGTTTTTTGTTAGCAAAAGTCAAAATTACAAGGCAAATTTTACAATGTTTATAACAATAAAAGCAGTCTGGTCTGCAGTCAGGAATAGTTGTGTTTTGACAATGCTAAGAGCTGCAAATTGTATTTGCAGATAGCCAGGAGGAATTTGACATCATCCTAAATAAAAAATACAACTAAAACAACCACAGATTTATAATTTTTCCCTGAAAATTTCTGTTTTTGTTAGATATAAATATGAGATGAAGCGAACTAAAAACGTACTTGTTTTTGTAACTTTATTGAATTTTATTGTTTTCATATTTGTTGTCTTTGATTAAATGACGAAATACCTCGTATTTTTCATGAAATACTATCCAAACTGTGTTAGTATTCTATATAAAAAGTAAACTGTTTCAGACTTTTTTGCAAACTGTTTCGGACTTTGTACTTTGCCCTCGCGTGACCTTTTCTTCCATTTTTTACAAATGTACAATGCCATATAATAAAAAACTTACTGACCTCAACCGTTCGGGCAGTACGGGAAAATATCCAACCTCGGTCTTTGCTATATTGACCTCGCTATCGCTTGGTCAATACAGCAAGATCTCGGTTGGATATTTTCCCGTACTGCCCGAACAGTTGAGGTCAGTAAGTTATTATAATAAGGATTGATTGTCCAAAGCAGTCCCAGCCAGTTTCGTTTTTTGAAGTGGTTTGTGGTGTAACATATTGGGTCAATATCATTAAAAATGACTGTAGAGAAAGGTGAACATAGGTCAAACGGCATGCGGAATGGCCTTGGACAAACCGTCCCATTGGTACAACAAAATTACATTGAACTAAGGAGAAAAATGGATGGTATTGGAGAGATGTTGTGATTTTTAATGAAACATTGAATAATGATGTGACTGTGTATTGGGGCTGTAGCAAACCTCACAGTCTTGGCTTGACCATGCTTGTGTTATTTGTGCTTTTTCATTTGTTTGGCCCTCCTAACAAAATACCACACAGAAGTTTGAACGTTTCTTCAACATAAGAAAAGTTCTCCTGTCCAGCATTGGTTATGCATGACTTGATGCGGTTCTCCAGTGACATGGCCAAATCTCATCGAAAAGTTTTGACATCATTAAAGGAATCTTCATTGGTACGTTATTCAAAAAAATTTAAGATTTACTTTACTATATGTTCAACTAATTCATTGGTAGATAACATGTTGTGCTATGAATCATCATTTAAAACAGACCTTCATGCATTGTATAATAATGTACCTCCATATTTTTCTTCATTGTCGGAAAGAACTCCATGTTTCCATGTGTGTGGCACTTGTTTGATGCATCAACCAGCCACATCACATTACATTAGCAACAGGTGCAAACATATTGTGCATCAACAATAAGTCAACAAAGTCCTGGGAAAGCAATACATATTCAAAATATAGTCAATAAAAAATAGTGGTAGTATATTAACTTAGGCAAACTTGTAGTCAAATAAAGTCCTACCTGTCCAAGAACTTGATACTGTAATGGATGGAGTTCATCAGAGAATGCTGGAGATACGTTCTTCAATGCTGCAGTGAAAAGCTTGTAAGATTTGACTAGACATTGCCACTGCACATACGCCAAACTAGCAAATTGAGCCTTGAGGGAATAGGCAAAAGCAACCTGCTCTTCATAATGAACTGCAGCAGACTTGGACTTAATGGAAACTAAAAATGAAAATTAAAGCCCAGCAAATGACTTTCAGACAAGACATAACAAAATATAAAATTTATTGGCTATAAATTTTATATTTGGTTATGTCTTGTCTGAAGTCATTTGCTGGGCTTTAATTTTCATTTTTAAATTATGCTTTCCACCCAGTGTATCAATCGCTACTGTTTTAATGGAAACTAATGCACTCTTTACTAATGTTTCAGCTGCTTCATAATTCTTTTTCATTAAATTATTTTCCTCATTCAATGCTGTAAGAGTGTGTGTCTATCACAAGCACAAAGCATGTGTTGAATCACAGAACTCTTCAGCTTACGCCAGTAGGTTCCTACACCATTCATGAGTTCCGTCTATCCTCCCTTCATTAAAGATACCTTCCAGTGCAAATACTTGTGCAGTCTCTGGACAGCTTCTTGGTAGCTCTAGCAGGTGTTAGTCTTACAGCTTGACCAAGTATAGGTAAAATCATGTTTCACACCTAAGTATTGCATTTATTAAACAAACAGGGTAATTTGTAACATATAATTAAAGATTGCAAAAAATAGCTAAATATATAAATAGATAAACATATAAATATTTGATACAAAATGCATTCAATGGAAAAATCATATTGGTATATTTGAGATTCTTGTACAATATTGTATATAATATCAAATATTTCCTTATTCAGTACAAACCAATGAATATATTTGCACGGGGAGACAAAAATTGAGCAAAGCATTATACTTAGCATACACAGGGTGTGATAACACCAGGATTAATTAGCCTTTCTCAAAGGGCAAATATCCACCATTTTTTGGCACCATCTAAAATTCTCCGTTTCTTGTTAATGAATGCAGACAATTAAAACAATGTGAAAAGCAAATTTTTAGAGTAAACTAGCCATTTACGGAGTAATTTTACCATCATAAAATCAAAAAAATTATAAGAAGTCACTGTTACCTGGCCTTATGCTTGCAGGCTTCAGATGAAAATTACCAAAACATGTGCAAGACAGGCAAATTTAATCATATATGGTCACACGCACCAATTCAAATCTACCACACCTGTGGTGACTTTCGATATTACCTGCTGTTGTGCTGGTAGCTTATTTAAGGTTGTCAACTTTGATGCAGAGCTTTTCTATCATTGATACTACTTTTTCTTCAAAGGTTTGTTTTGTAACCGTAACAGAATTGGACAGGTTTGTCTGGAATGTTGTATCTGCTGTGATGGCACTGCATCTGCCAGAACTCTCTGTGTACTGTGATTGTGAATTTACTATCTTATTGTTCTGTAAATTGTATGTTGCCATTGTTTCTATTTTATGATTGTCATCATCCTCTTCACTGTCATCACCTGAGGAAGATTTATAATTTCCTGTATAACCTCAGCATCAGGATTCCTTGCTGGAAGGTGGTTTGGCTGGAACTATGATTTACATGATTTTGGCTCTTACACTTTTTGGTACTGAGATGTGATTAATTGCACAATATTGCTTTTGACTTCAGCAAGTGGAATGCTGGGATGAGTACTGTTTTTGTGTCTATTAATTTGATAATCTCCACCGCAGGAAAGAATTGCCCCGTTCTTCAATTTTGTAACATCACTTTTTGCACACAAAAGACAAACTCTTTTATTTTGTGCCCTGTCCTTCATTTTTACTTGTCGCTGATGTCGCACGGTTTTCCTGACCTGACGCCCCCACTGTACCCAGAATTTTGCTCGAATTTCTATTGTTTCTTTGACAAAATACCCCTACCTGCAGATTGTCCAGAATTCGCAATACCAATTGTTTGAGGCTTTTCTTCTCAGGAATAATTACAATATCTTCATCTTGGGTATTGGCATCGCAAAGTACTCTTTTCAGTCCTGCAATACTTACAGATAAATTTTGTATTGCTTGTTCTTGCTCAACATCATGGTAGACGTCACAGCCATCATCATCACTTGACTTGAATGATTTGGTAGATTGACTCGATTCCATTCACATTTAGTGTTTTTTTCTCATTGTAAATTTGAGTATAAAACATAGAAAACCTGCAATTTGCATAAATGTTTAAAAAGTCATGTTTTGCAAATTTGTGGCTGCATTCTAGGTGGTCAGCTGAAACACTGATCCCTCTACTTTGTGTAAGACTAAGTATATTTTTGCATTTCAAAATTTAAAAGCAGTTAACGAGTGATAAAAATACTTACTAAAAATACTAACAATTTTATTTTCTACAATATTTACTTAATTTAAATTTCACTAACATTTCACTATTTTGTGCACCAATTTAAAAAATTGTGCACCAACTTGCATTGCTGTGCATGGCACATGTGCCATGGCGATCACAGACATTCCACACTGGTTTTACTGGACCTTTTAATATCTATATTTATTTTACTAGGTGGTTTTTATTGGATGTTGGGAAATCACTATCCAAAATTTCGATCCTCCTTGAAGGGTTTGAATCTGGTGATTCTCTGCCCAGTCAAGTGGATAAATATATATATGACATGGATAAGGTACTCAGACCATTCATGAGTGACCTGGCATTACTTGAATCAGTAAGTCACAATTGTGTAATATTCAAATTTCTGTCGCAATCATGTAGGTGGTGGTGTTATTGCCAGTGGTGGATCCAGCAAGATTTTTATAGTGGGGTACTTCATCAGCCCTCATGTTGTTGTCAAACTTCTGCTAGACAATAATTGGTAACAAATATCCCTCCCTGTACCGGGTTTCACAAGTTATTTAACATATGACATTTATTTTCAAGACAAGTTTGATTTTTTAACCCCCTTCCCTCCCCTGGTGAATCTCTCACTCAATATAAACAGTGAGTGCACCTCTCCTGTACATCCATCACTGGTTACTGGTGCACAAAATCTTGATAATTAGCAAAGGGAAAAAACAACTTTTGATTTAAGGGAAAAGCCTTGTATGTTAATAAAGAGCTAATATAATAAATTCTTATACTATATTTGTTCTGAGGACCATGGTGTGCAGCTGAACAAAGTTAACCAAATTATGCCAATCTAAGGCAGGTTAAGTGTCATCTTGGCAGATAACCTTGGCAGCAACTCAATTGGCAGTTTTATGGAGAATTTTTCTGCTAACCAACCATGCAGATTTTGTTTTGGCTTAAGTTGGGAGTTTCAAGAGAAGGTTAATAGGTTTTTATATACTATAGCTGTTGATAATATAAAGCCATATATGAGATATTGTCTCAATGCAAGTAGTAATATTTTTTTTAATATTTCAGTTTGTTGAGGAAGAATTTACAATGAGACAGACAGATGGATCTAGTTTCAGAGGATCCAGAATCAGCCTTGGTATATGGTGTAAAGAGGCCATCTGCCTTGAATGCCTCATAATACAGGCCAAGCCTAATTAAGAATGTCAACACAGGTGATCATCACTTGTGCCAGACAGGTACATATGGGAAGACCCTGGTATTGTCTGGTCATGTGACTCTACAAAAATTAATTGTCCAAGGGGGAGTGGCAAAGTATCAAATTACATGCTTCCACAGAAAATGTTAAATTTCAAATACCATGAGTGGGATTTTACGATACAAAGTTTGAAGCGCCTGCTAACTTCTATTTTATACTTCTGTTTGCTTTTAAATTACAAAAACGGCAGCATTTTATCAACAATAAAATCAAGAAACAAATAAAATCTTATGCTTTAATTTAAAGTTTGAAGTTGCCAGGTATTCTCTCTCAAACATATTATCATATCAAACCGGTCAGTCATCAACATTTGTATATTTTCTACTAATAGTAGATTTTGAAATGTAACATTTTGCCACAAATCACAATGTAAACATGCATGTGAACACTGCCAAACAGAGACCCCGAATGCTCACTTTAAAACTGTTGATGATTTATGTTTGAAAATACTTTTAATTCAATAGTTCATCATATTTGAAACTTGTAGATAGGTAGGATCGAGGTTGGCAGGTAGTAAAGTACAAAAATTTTCAGATGAATGTACAAAAATTCTCAGCCTCAGTCCAGGGAAATGTGTATATCAGGTGGTATATACAATCACAGCTTTAGCATTTTTTTCAGCCTCCATGAATTAAGCAATAGGGTAATAGCAATATTTATAAAAAATATTTTTCTGATATACACTATACAGTACATATTTTATAACACGAACATAGTCATAGATAATTCCATAAACCACAGAATAATGATATGCACATTGACGTTTTCTTCAAGAACACACCATTCAGCATGCATATTAAATATAAAGTCAGTACATTGCATATTATATACTGTAAGAACATTGATCAACAAATTACAGTAAAGCCAATGTCACAATTAAAGCTATTTATCAAATTTATCATGTGGTCTGTATTCTCTAATGTCAAACATAAGTTACAAATATACAGTCACGTACAGTATTTGTATTTGTAACATACACGCACAGAAGAATCTTTGACTTATCTTTGAGTATAAACTATTGTCGGGATTAGTTTACTAACAGGGAAGCTAAGTACACTTTGACATATTTCTTGAGCATCAAGTTTTAACGAAGTCAATGGGTCAATGGCAATGTTGGAATTTGGAAATTTCACAGTGCTTTTAATATAAACAGTCCAAGTAGCATTGTTTACAAGCAAGGTTTGTTTCGTTTGCAGTTTGATATTTCCGAAATCAAATGATATATTTCTATTTCGTTACAATTCCACATCTCAGTATTAAATAAATCCTTTAGGATAGGCTTCAACAGTTAAATAATAGCAGCATCAGTCGGTGTAGAAATATATTTTATTGTAACTTTTGCTACGTTCGATTTCTTTGACGAGCCGTATAGCACAATTTGTCTATTGAAATCTAAGCTATCTTTGCTCACCAACATTCTGCGCACAATGAAATTTGATATTCCTTATTGTGTAACTTGATAGTACTCGTACAATCTTGTAAATATTTTCTGCATGGTTTCTGCTTTATTTCTTTGCTCACTCCTTGCTCAATGACAAAATGTACTTAGTTACCCACCCTAATTGAAATTTATTGTTACCTCTCTGATTCTGGGAGACATGTGACCAGACAATACCAGGTATTTTCTGAGTAAGTGGCTGTTGCACCGAGTATAAGAGAAAATAGCCAGGGTACGCAGTTGGATTTGATCATGTTTTTTGTTGTTATTGATGACATCCCAGAAAATACCCAATTAACACATGCATTTTCAATTGACACTTGTGTGGTGCCCACCTCGCTGCTACTCTCATGGTAAATCTTGCACCCCTCCAGGGCAGCCATTTTTTACCTCCCACAAATAGACTCGTTCGGCAAAGAGCGAGCTGCCAACTGTCGGTGGCATTCATCTCACTTGAATCCTATTTTTGCATCGCAAATGTGGTGCCTTTCTAGGTTGTTACCATTTTTAGTGCATCAATGGATTCCTGAGGAAAACGATGACTGGGCTTTGTTTTCAGATCTAATGCAAATCGTCTAACTATTATTCTCTCCTGTGGTTGAGAAAGGTACCTCCGATCTATCTTTGGCTGCTTATTAGCATGTACTTGGATCAATTCAAGAAAATCTATCCAAATGTGAAACTAATTCCCAAGCAGCATTTTGTGGTGCATTATCCAAATCAGATCAAAAGGTAAAGCATGCACTGTTGTTGTACCTCATAGCTTCAGCCGGATAGAAATGAATGTTTGAACAAAATCCAAATTAATCTACTTGGGGTAGACGCGGTCGGTGCGTCGAATAAATTGAACGGAACGTCAGAATTTTGACAACAAGGTTATAAGAACTTAATAAACAGATAACAGGATATATACAGGTGCTTGTTGACTGCAAACTGTTCAGTATAGTAAGTGCTTGTTGACTGCAAATTCATTTGTCTTTCGTTGCAAACTTTTCTGAACAATTTATATTCTCAATGAACATGTTTTTTTCGCTGTTGTTTCGGTATTAATTCTTTAAAAAACTTGTATTTATACTAATTTCTATGTAATAAATGTATTTTTCTAACCTTTCAAAATTTTGTAATAACCTTTAAAAGAGTTTTTCCTTGTACTATTATCTTTCTCAAAACGAATATTTTCCTTTCTGCTTTGCAAACCTCATGTAGTTTTTGGACCACCATCTTGTTTTTTCGCGACTCGCCATATATGAGCTGATATACGACGAGTAATTCAACCAATCAGATTGCAGAACAGCTCATATACGGTGAATGACTATATTATAACAGGATATATACAGGTGTGAAATATGTACAATACGATCATATCACGATACGACGACTTGTTAGGAATGAGGTGTCGAAATGTGAAATCGATGTTGTAGCTTTTAGTTGGTAGGATCAAATTCAATATCAAGATGTTGAATCACTTGAATGTTGATAAATCACAGTTTTAGATCATTTAGATTGTCATTTATCATGGTATACTGTCCTTGTAGATGGTACACTATCGATAGATATAGTATGGTTGATACAGAATCGCATAGAATCACGTATAATTGATGGAGTAGAATCGTGATAGAGTAGAATCGGTTTGAACTAGAATACAATGAGAGAAACAAACTAACTATAGTAAACCCTATAGAAACTGCGATATAACAAGAAAATAATAATTCATATGCTAGATAATATACATGCAAATATTTACTTACACAATCAGCATGCACTAAACCCGAATTTAGCAGCGCTGGAAATGGAAATGCTGCCTTGACTTAACAAATACAAAACAAACAGAACTGAATCATGCATGACATGGCGCAAATTATTCTAAAGTCACTTTTATGTGAAACATTAAATATTATATTGTGAAACACTAAATATTTATGGGTTTGAAACATACGACGAAACTAAGCTGGCGCTAGAAAGAATATAGATTGTTCATAATTATTGCCGTCCATTTACTAAACTAATATTATTTTTTTTTTTCTGTTGGTTTTGTGTACTCAGATGAATATGATATTTGTGACATTACTCTGAGTGTATATCCACACCGGGCAAGCTTGAAAAATATGCCCGGCCATGGTGGGAATCGAACCTACGACCTTTGGGATACTAGCCCAATGCTCTGCCAACTGAGCTACGTGGTCAGGTCGGTTCAAGTATGTGATATTTCGGAACAGAATCTAGTTCCTTCGATACCAATGCAACCTAGTAATATGATTATTTCTGTGTTGGTGCTGTGTACTCAGGTGAATATGATATTTGTGATGTTACTCTGAGTGTATATCCACACCGGGCGAGCTTGAAAAATATGCCCGGCCACGGTGGGAATCAAACCTACGACCTTTGGGATACTAGCCCAATGCTCTGCCAACTGAGCTACGTGGTCAGGTCGGTTCAAGTATGTGATATTTCGGAACAGAATCTAGTTCCTTCGATACCAATGCAACCTAGTAATATGATTATTTCTGTGTTGGTGCTGTGTACTCAGGTGAATATGATATTTGTGATGTTACTCTGAGTGTATATCCACACCGGGCGAGCTTGAAAAATATGCCCGGCCACGGTGGGAATCGAACCTACGACCTTTGGAATACTAGCCCAATGCTCTGCCAACTGAGCTACGTGGTCAGGTCAGTTCGAGTATGTGATATTTTGGAACAGAATCTAGTTCCTTCAACACCAATGCAATCTAGTGATATGATTTTTTCTGTGTTGGTTTTGTGTTGAGAGAGAATCTGCTGGAACACCTCTTGATGCATCGTCTGCTGGATTTGAATGAGTGTCTACGTAATTCCATTGAGGAGGGGTTGAAGCATTGTGTATTGTTGAAATTCGATTTGCAACAAATGTTTGAAATTGCTTGTTTGTGTTTTCGATATGATGCAAAACACAAGTGCTATCTGTCCAGTAGAAAGATTGATCGATAGGTAGACTTAGTTCGTTTCTCGACATTTTATCAAGTTTTGTTGACACAACAGCTGCTGATAGTTCCATTTGTGGTATCATCACCGGTTTTATGGATGCAATCTGGATTTCCTCATAACAAATGAACACTTGACATTTCCTGAAACATGTTCTACTCTGACATAAGAAACGGCCCCATAGCCTTGTGAGGCATCCGAAAAATGGCGGAGTTGCGTTGATTTGATTTCTTTCATCGTTGCTGGTTTGAAACAGCATTCAACAGCAAGGTCTTCAAGTTAAGGTAGATCATTTGGCCATGCTTTCAGCGTTTGAGAAATTTGTCTGGAATTTTGTCGTCCCAATCAAGCCTTAGATGACAAAGATCTTGTAGAATCAACTTCGCAGAGAGAATATAAGGGGCAACAAATCCGAGTGGGTGGTAGATTGAACTGACGATTGACAGTTTTCCTCTCCTTGTCGATGGTCGATCATCAACGTAGAAATTGCGTTGGACTGTTTCAATGGTTTGGTCATGCGAACTGTGATGCATTGTCCACCGCCGTTTTCCTCAGAGCAAAGTTGGCGCAACTAGGGCTGGGAGCGCTCCAGAACAGGTGGACGGAGTTGTTCAGCTTGTCCAGATATCCGATCTTTTCCAATCTATTTGTGAACTCGTTAATTGCACCACCGAGAATCGTTGCAAGGTGGTCCCATCTTCATTCTTAATAGGCGGGCCCTCGATCAGTCTTTGAACATGAGCTGCGGCTATCCGGTAGTTCTGCCCATATCGTTCCTTCAGCACCTTTCTAGCTTCTGTATATCCCTTATCTTCATGCATGGAGAGGCAGCTTCTCATGAGTTCTACAGAACCACTGGTATGTTGGATGAGGTAGTAAAGTCGTGCACTTGGTCTGGTGGTTTTGCATTCAATCAGATGTTTGAAGGAGCAAATGAAATCGCAGTAGTCGACAGGATTCCCACTGAAGATAGACATGCTTGGTTGAGGTAGGGTGAGGGCCATAACTCCCTCTTGTTGTTGATGGATAAGGTGTTGAAGAGCATTCGATCTTGCATCTCTACAATTCGTCTGAACGATTCATCACGTGGGGTAGAAGTTGTATTTATTGGAGTGTTGGGGAACTCGTGCATTGCATTTACCTTCGGAGCATTTTCCTTCAGCCCTCCTCAATGTTGGTTAGAGACAGGGGCAGCAGTTTGAGTGTCTGATGTCGGAGCAGGATCAAATTCTCTAAGCTCTTCGGCTTCAACTTGCTCATACATGGATTGTTCGGCTCCAGCTGCGGCAATTTCTCCACTCAATTGCAGCTCCTGTTTGCATTGTTTCAGGACTAGCTCTTCTATTTCAAGCTGATGTAGATGCCGCAGGGTTTCCGCTTGGGCTTCTAAGGCTGGTTTTTTTGCTTTCGCACTACTAGTGCTTCTTCGAACTACAAATCGAGTTTGAACATGACGACGTGCGGGAACCTATGTTGCTGATAGAGTCCTCTGGTTGGATGCGTATCTGAGTTTCTGAAACATGTTGACCTTTAATGGATCTATAGTACAAAACATAATCTGAAGATAAGCATCTTGAAACCCAAAATATGAGTTAAACAAGAAAGTGAGTGAGTAATATTTCGATTTTATTACAAAATCATCATCAGACTAACTACAGTTACAATATATACATGGTTTTATATACAAGTTGGCAAGGCATGATGACAGAATGTAAGTCTCAATCGGAACCACGACAGGTGCAGTGAGATGTAAGTGTGATGAAATGTGGGTGTATAGATTAAGAAAAAAGCTTAAGGCTGGCTTTGAGTCCAGTGTTTAAACTGGGGGAATGGTACTTGATATATAGAGCTTCAAACAACAAGAGAAAATTAGGTGTGTGAGAATAAATTGTGTGAAGAATTCGATACTTGTCAATTATTAAGTTGGAAATAAAAGTGGAAACTTTTTTTTAAAGGATCTTTCAATGTTTAGTTGCACTTGTTTTACTAAGGAGTCTATTTCATGCTCGAGCTCTTTCACTGATAACTCAACAGCTTTACCATATTGTTCGGAATCATGCAGCTCATTTCCGTTTCAAATTTGGGAATGGTAGGCATTGTGCACCCTTTGGAATCCCTATAGAACATTAGGCAACTATAGTTGAAGAAATTATCTGGATTCTTCATTACTCCTCTAATTCTATTAATTTTGTTGGTTATGTGCGCTCTTGCCAAACCACAGGACCTTTTTAATTGTTGAAGTTGTTCCTGTTTTGTCTTTAATTAATCGTGTTCGTTTTAAGGACGTCTATCCAATCTTTTCCAATGCATTTGTGCAACTTGTTAATTGCACCACCGAGAATTGCTGCAAGGCGGTCCCATCTTCATTCTTAATAGGCGGGCCCTCGATCAGTTGTTGAACATGAGCTGCGGCTATCCAGTAGTTCTGCCCATATTGTTCCTTCAGCAACGATGAAATGGTATGATGCAGAATATTTTGACTAAGTGGACAAATACTTCGAATTCCTTTTAACCATGCATCAAATTCGAACTAAAATGTAGCTTCATCCGGATAGAAATGAATGTTTGAACAAAATCCAAATGAATCTACTTGGGTAGACGTGGTGCGTTGAATAAATCGAACTCGACGTCAGAATTTTGACAACAAGGTTATAACAATTTAATAAACAGATAACAGGATATATATACAGGTGTGAAATATGTACAATACAATCATATCACAATACGACGACTTGTTAGGAACGAGGTGTCGAAATGTGAAATCGATGTTGCAGGTTTTAGTTGGTAGGATCAAATTCAATATCAAGACTTGAATGTTGATAAATCACATGAATAATGCGCACATGAACGAAAACTCACTCACATGAACGAAAACTGACTCATGCACGACATGGCGCAAATTATTCTAAAGTCACTTTTATGTGAAACATTTTGCAACTATTAATATTGCAGAAAACAACTTGTTATCTATGTACTTACTTTGGTTTGCTAACACACCAAACTTTAACTTTTAATAGTGTAGGTATATGTGTAGCCTCTTTTTTCAAGCCAAGATAGAGTAAAGGTAGACTGTCTTTTTAACGTGGATAGAACTTGGCCAATACAGGGCCCAAAACAACTATTGCTTACTCACAAGCGTCCATGTTAAAGACTTATTGCAGAATGAAGTTTATAAGATGGGTAGGCTGTTTTGTGCAAAAACAAACTGGACATAGCATGGACATAGCATGGCTAGGCAACCGCATTACGCATTTTGATGGAACTTTTGCTAACAGTGGAAAATAACAACTTGTTTGTTTCCCATCTAACCTTTTCGAAAACATTATTTTGACCTTCCGTTTCGAAACCAACATACCTTGAATAATTAAAATGGTTTTTGGTTCAAAATTACTAAAGTACTGTAGTGTATGTGCAGACAGCGTCCATTTTGCCAGTGTGCTTCCAATCATAATTTAAATCATTACAAAGAAGTGATGGAATTATGCTGTCTTCACTGACATACCACGTAGTCTAATTTAAGGGACCGGCTAAATGGAGAGTTATCATTTCGTAAACTTATGTTCGAACCATGCCCAAAACACCCCGATGTTTCCTTGAACTACATGAGAGAGTTATGATTGACATAACTCTCTCTCATTAACATGTTAGCTCTCCGCATTCACGATTGTGGCAATGAAGAGAGTTATGTCAGTTTTTTAAAAAACTTCCACATTTTAATAAATTTTCTCAAGTTTCGGCTTTAACATTTCACGCTAGTAGAAACTGGTAGTACTTTAGTACGTACCAAGTGAAGCGAGTACAAGTAAATAAACTATTGATAGTTTTTACTATTGTTTGAACTTTTAACAAAGCTATAACAATGAACCAAACACCAAAAAAGCAGTATCTAACAAATAACATCTTAATAATTTTTATGGTTTGTAAAAATATATAGTTCTTAATCAAGGGTAACATGTATACAAACAGAGTTTGTTTCTTTCGACATAGAGCTATACCATGGTCAAACCCCTCTCCACCAACATTTCATACTCTTGCAGTTCTTCAATGCAGTCCCCTCACCAATGAGCACTTGAAATGGAGTGAATATCATATTTGACGCCAGCGGCTTTTTTGAAACTCAGTTTAAATTTGCGCAAAAATTTCTGTTCCTCTCGATCATGCAGAAGTTGCAGTTTTGTGGTACATACAAACTGCTCATGTGGATGCAAATTCTTCCCAGAAGTATTTTACTGCTTCTGCACCCCACACATTGTTGTTCTTTATTGTTGTTCAAACTTGAGGAGCAGTGCTAAGAGGTGAACCTTCAAACAAACCATTGATCTTGTCATTCGTCATCTTCGGTACTGAGGCGAACCTTCAAACAAACCATTGATCTTGTCATTTGTTATCTTCGGTACTTTACAACTAGAGATGTTTGCTGTTGTGGTAGATTGCATGTTACTTCCTGATAAATTTGTGTTATATGCGAAAGACTCACTTGTTGTTGAAGATGGTCTGAAGAGTCGGGAAGGGATTACAGCTGGAGCATTAGATGTTAGCTCCAGTACTTCAGATTCTATTAGTGCTACTTGGGTTAATTAGTTTACTCTCCTCGGTGATCTCCAACACAAATAAATACACCCAGAGTATGTATATGTTTGCATATTTGCCGAGTGTTGTTCTGTTTAACAATATAAAAGGGGCATTCACACTGCGGCGTAGTTGTGACTGAAACAAGATGAGTGTTTCAAGAATTGATGGAATATCCTATAAATCCATTTTTCCCAAGATTTGCCGAAACTAAATGGAAAGACTCGTTTTTCGCCTTCTTCAAGCTCTGTTGAAATGCCTTGGGACACAGTGGAGAGGACGTAATGCTGGAAATATGTAAGATCGCCTGCTGTACCACCAGGTTAACCAGTTAATAGGATGTGTTCACGGTTGGGTTCTGAATTGATAAAATTTAATCATTTTTATTGGACTCCATGAATGCTGAAGGAGTAACAACAGCTGTGAAAAGCCCATTGGATAATTTGTAAACATGTCACGTTCTTCGTCTGTCAGTAACTTATGTTGGTGAGCATTGCTACTTTGGTGATAGTGAAATTGACAGCTAACAATTCTTGTCTGAACATCATCTCTGTAAACTTCTTTAAGGTCTTTCAGTTTGACCTTGCTTCATTTACCATCCATCCACATGGATTAAATTTGTAGAAATTTCGACTAGATTCTGTTTGTAAAACTTTGTTGAACAACTCCCACATTATTTTGACAGATCTGGCATCTTCCTCTTTGCATTCCATGATTGCTAACTTAACTATCTTTCTTAAAAGTGGGTGGAATGTTGTGATGCTAAATGTTTTATTGAATCATCAACACCTTGCATCAAAGAAAACCCATTCTTTAGACATATAGTGGTTGCCGGACCTGTCCATTTCCAAAACAATTTTAGCAAAAAAAAACATATGATGGATTCTCATTCATACCCTCGCCATTTATCTCAAAGATAAGGAACAGATCCTGTGCATCTAGCTGTCTCTTAAGATGAACTACTGCATCAAAACTGTGTCCATGCGGGTGGGTTACTTTAGATTGTTTTTGTTTTTCGTTTCTAAGTTTTTTTTGTCAAGAAGATTGCTGGTCGACTCTTTACGGCATTCACATTACTGGATTCTCAAAGAGAGTTAACCAGAATATTGCATTGCAATTTGGAGGGTTTATTTAGTTTTGGGATTCGCTACATATATGTGGAAGTGGTGGCAGTGGAAGTGTGAGGATGTTATTATTGAATGTTGGTACAACTTGGGACAGAGCTTTGAGTGGAACTTGATGTGAGGTTTCAGGTGGAACCTGAAGTGGGACTTGAGATGCAATTTTGAGTGAAATTTGAGTTGGAATGAGTACGGTTTGAGGAGAGGTTGATGTAGTGTATTCTGTTTCAATGTTTCTTAGTATAGTTTGGGATTTTTCTCGGCAAGTAATTCCATAAAGCCCCTTAGTCATGTGAGTTTGCTTTTTTGGCATCTGTGGCATAAAACTTCACACTGTTTCTTGTCCATTTTTCTGCTTTTGTGAACAACTTTGTAAATTTGTGCTGTTTTGTGTTTACAATGGTGCTTCCACTTTTCAGTGTTTTATTATTGTTATTATTATTATTATTTAAGAATATTTAAACATGGTAGCCTTTCACAATTAGTGATTTTCAAAGAGCCATGTATCACACAAAAATATTATATAATAAATATTTACAACTATACAAAGCGTACTGCAATCCACAGCCAAGCACAAATTTGCTGTCAATTAAAATAATGTTTAAGAATTTTAGAAAATGAATTTACTGATTGACACTCAACTACTACTAGGATCATATCAGAGGGTAGCTTGTTCCAGGAAGCTGCTCGATGATAAACAAAAGTCTTTTTTAGGAAATCTGTTTTTGGCTTAGGCAGACTCGTTTTTAAATTATTAGTACATACGTGATAGTTTGTGTTGTTACATTTATGAAACAACATTGTCAGGTAATTTGGTGCCATACCATTTAAAACTTTAAACATCATTATTAATTCTCGTTTATCAAGTACTGTTTTGATTGGTTAATTTCCATTGAAGGGTTTCAAAATTTGGACAGATCTAATACTATAGTCTAAAATGGTTATTACATGTGCAGCTCTCTTTTGTAATTTGAATAAATTACTAATGTGAGAACTGTTATTATCATGTCAAACGGTTGAATAGACATCTTTCGCATAAGCCAAAGCCATATGATAATGAGCCACAAACAGTGATAAGTCATTTGTTTATGGTAATACGATGCAAATAACTACATCACTTTGGCTCGCTTCATTTAATTCGGCATTTTATTATTAATTTAACTACATATCATAGAAACAGTTTAAACTTATATTTGGCTAACGCAACAAAACCCCCTTGCATACTCACACATAACCTTTATACCCAACTTAACTTTGGAATATCTCAAATTATTGCGCAGTTTTGTTGTTGAAAAGCCACTATATTAAATAATGTCAAACAATACGATGTGTCTCTGTGCTAAGAAGGTGCACAGCTCAACAACAATCGGTTGGAACCATCGAGGGTGGCGCCAAATGCTGGCAACCGCTTGATATGTTTTCATATGTTTGATGGTGTGTTCTATAAGAATCCTACACTTAGAAAGTTTGTGATTAAATCTGCACGCACAAATTTTGTCATGCCTTGGCATTCGTCGTATCTGTGCTGTTCTAAATGGCGTCATCAACGGAGGGACATCCGCATAACCTTTGTCAGCCAGTAGCACAACATCTGGTGGTAAATCGTTGTGAGTTCCTGGTCCAATTCTCTCCGTCATGTTGTAATTTCCCGCATCGTTCATTGCTCCTAGAAAACCTGCCTGTAGAAAGACAATGTTTCCAATGTTATCGACAATTAGTTGAGTGTTCATCAAATGGTAATGTCTAGGACCACTGTAAAAATGTTCTTGGGGCTCCGTTTCAGGTCAGTAAATTTCATGGGGGGTGCCATCAATACAACGAACAGCATCAGGAAAAGAACGCCAGTGACCACGCATATTTTCCCATTCAGCAACAGATGGCCGGGTAACCTGGTTACGAAAAAAATGCCATAAAACAGGGACGATTCTATGGATTATAGCTGATACGGTGGAGGGGCTAATATCGAATAGTAGAGCTAACGTATCAACGCAAGGATATTTCCTTAACCATATCACAGTTAACAGGACCCTGTTTATAGGACTCAGCTTGCACATTCTCCATCTTCGACGTAGCCGTCCTCTTCTATTCAACCTTTCTAACGCGAAAGAGATCTCTGCGGTTATGTTTGCTAGAGTCTCAGGTAATTCCCCAGTGTTCAACCAGAACAGATATCGTTGGTTTTCTATGGCGATAAACAGATCTCTTCCCTCAGAACCAAAAAATGCCGGGTCTAGACGTTGCATTATAGGTAAAAGTTGGCCGGCCGGAGGTGGACTTAATATTGTCGCCAATAAAAGAAGAACAGATAATAACCTCCTCACAAAGTCAATGAGGTTATTCGATACATGAGCAGGTGGCGGATAGATGATGACAAGTGCATTTAAAGTCAAACACATTACTTGTAGATTTCGTCTCAGATTTTGTCTGGGCATGGTGAACGAACTCACAGTGTGGCTATATCCATAGAATAAAATTATGGAAATATGCACTTGATGAAACGGATGTTAACTTGTAAAAATGTGTTTTCCAATTCTCTTAGGTATACTAGAAAAATAGTCTATTTTTCTAAATCATAAGCCGGACCTGACATGTTTAATTGAATTGAGGTTGTGTGTGTGTAAGTGTATACAAGAAGAAATGATGTGTTTGAGGAATAGTGGTTTACACATTTACACTGTTTTTCTGAATTGTAGTTAATTTAACAATAAAATGCAGAATTAAATGAAGCAAGGCAAAGTGGTGTGGTTATAATTATTTGCATCGTATTACCATAAACAAATGACTTATCACTGTTTCTGGCTCATTATCATATGGCTTTGGCTTATGCGAAAGATGTCTAATTGTACATTGTGACTAACACTTCTTGTGAGACAAAATCGTTGGCATTACGTAAAAGGGCTATACCTTTTGATATTATTTTGCATTGTTCATTATTGTGTTCATTCCATTTAAGTTGGTCATCTTTTTTTCCTTAAATCTCTCCAGCTGATAATCGCCAGATATTATTTCTGGGGTTTCAGAAATTGCGTCTAACCTAGGTTTCAATCCGACAATCATGTACTCAGTTTTTTCAATATTTAAAGTTAATTTGTTACTTATTATCCACTTCCAGATATTATCTTGGTCTTTGTTTATTTATACTTTATGTCTGCAGATGTTTGCCCTGTGCAAGATAAATTTGTGTCATCTGCAAACATAGAAGCTGTAGTTGTTTGTAAACAATTCGGAAGATCCTTGATATATATATCAGAAATAGTAAAGGACCCAGGTTCGAGCCCTGTGAAACACCACAGCATATTTCTGTTTCACCTGACACAGTATTATTGATTCTGCAGATTTGGTTTCTTTCATATAAATAAGATTGAAACCATTTTGCAGAACCAGTACCTTGGACTCCACAATGTTCAAGTTTAAATAAAAGGATACCATGATTGACTGTGTCAAATCTAGGAATACTACCCCATTAATCAAACCTTTATCCATGTTGACTAGCCAATTATTTGTTAAATGTAATAGCACATATTTTGAGTTGAGTGATTCAGTTGAGTTGGTTCTCGGCAAGTACTTCATTTTCAGTCCGCTGATTGTAAATCAGTTTTTCAAATATTTTAGCTACATTTGATATAGCAGAAATCGGTCTGCAATTACCAAATTCTGTTTTATCATCAGATTTTTAAATTAGCATAGCTCTAGCAATTTTTCAGTCATCTGGGAATATACCAGTATTTATTGACAAATTGAATATATAGTGCAGGGACTCTAAAATAGTACTTCCAGCTCCTTGTATAAGTCTTAGTGAAATTTTATAGATGCATGCCTGCTGATTTATTTGCTTTCATACCAGAAATGGCATGGTCCTCTTTTGGTATTGATTTAAAGGTAAATGAGTTTGACACTAATTACAAGATCTAGAGGATCCATATCATTTTGCGGAATTTCACTTCATTTACCTGTTTCTGAAGAATATCTGTTAAACTTGTTAGCAATATTCTTGTCGCCTACAATTTTACCCCCATTAACATTGATCTCATTAATCGTTGTTGCCTTAGATTTCCTGTTTAATAATTCATTGATTGTTTGCCAAGTCTCTTTATCATTTGTGCTACTAGCTAATTTGGAGTTGTATTAGAGCCTCTTTGTTTCTTTTATACACCTATTCAATTGGTTTTTGCATTGCCTATAAGCCTGGAAATAGTAAGGTGAGTTCAGTCCAACCGCTTTCTTTTTTAAATAATCTCGGTGATGACATTGCCTCTTAATCTTGTTGGTCATCCATGGAATATATTCCCTTTTCACCCTTTTATGGTCTCAATGGACACAGGAAAATTTTTTGGAAAACCATTATTGTGATTTACAATGGAAATTAAGCAATTCCCATTGTAAAAAACCAACAATGGAAAAGCGGAATTATATCCATTAATGGATCACATACATTCTCATGGTATTACCCATTGATGGATATATGGTGTTACCCATTCATGGATATGATATTACCCATTCATGGATATGATATTACCCATTCATGGATATGCTATTACACATTCATGGATATGGTATTACCCATTCATGGATATGATATTACCCATTCATGGATATGATATTACCCATTCATGGATATGATATTACCCATTCATGGATATATGATATTACCCATTCATGGATATGCTATTACCCATTCATGGATATGATATTACCCATTCATAGATATGGTATTACCCATTCGTGGATATGGTATTGCCCAATCATGGATATGCTATTACTCATTCATGGATATGGTTATTACCCATTCATGGATATGGTATTACCCATTCATGGATATGGTATTACCCATTCATGCTACGTTTACTGTACGTACAATACCCAATAATTAAATGGAAATTAAGTAATTCAATTGTAAAACCCATTTAATATATATTTATTTATATCATAGTGTACTTTCCAATATCCACGGTATCCAAATTTTCATACTGTATCTGTGGTATCAGATAAAATACTTCTTCCAAAATATAGAATGTAAAGAGATAAGAGTACACAATGTTTTTTAGCAACATGAACAAATATGAAGAGAAGTACATCAAACGGTTGTATAAAGAGCACTGACATTTACAACTTTTGCAGTCTTTTGACCATACATCTTGATATATTACAATCTCCTGGCTCAGAGGTTACTTCCACAATCTTTCTATCAATCAATTCAGGTGCCAGCTTCCTCACAGCATTGTCCTTGCTCATGGTACTAGGCACACTATGCATATATTTTTTTAGTAATGGAGTTATCCAGCTTCTCGGGACATCAGAATACTTAATTGCCCCAAATGCAACTGTCACAATAATCTTACAATCTTCAAGAGAAAGCTCATTTTCCTTCTGGTGGCCTATTGACAAAAAACAGTAGTATATTAAGTTCTTTGAAGCTAATTGCATGGCGATAAATACAATACAGTTTTTTTTTCATAGAAAATAATTTTGTTGTGTAGATAATTTTACGTGGTGTTTTCTACAAAACGAAACTATACACAGGGTGTATTAAAAAAAAGTTATCCAAATTTAGCACCCTATTGTGCGTAAATTACTTGGTAAACGTAATTTTTTATATTAAAGATCAGGCTTTTGGCTGTTGAATGACACATTTTTCATACCATTTGGAGGAAAAATGAGTAAATACGAGCTTGAAAGCCAGTTTTGACACATTCGTGAAAACTTATGTGAAAAATTAGGCGCAGTGGTGAAAGAATTCGATTTTGATCAAGATTTTCAATCGAGCTCGTATTAATTCATTTTTTCTCCATATATGTGTGCTATGAAATTGCTCATTATGCTATGAAATTGTGCTCATTCAACAGCTAAAAGCCTGATATTTCTTAATATAAAAAATTATGCTCGTTTACCAAGTAATTTACACACTAGCCTACGAACAGGCTCTCTTTGAACTCTCTTTGAAATTTGAGAGAGCCTGGAGGCCTAGCTAATAAAAACGCGTCTGTGCGTTGCTTAGAACGACGCAGGGTTCCCATTGGTTGAAATTGAATTAACTACATTATACTGCCATAAAAGGTAATTGAATTTACACAACAATAGATTCAAATCGAAAAATATCGTTCTATAGCGAGTTGTATAGAAAACTAAATCTTTGTTTAAAGTTAAAGGATGGACAGTCAAAAGCTCTTAACAATATTCTAGACGGAAACGATGTTTTTGCTGTATAAGAGAGTTTGGCAAATACAACGTTCTTATATCAACAATAGCATCTTTACTCTAAGACAAAGGCAACTATAATTTGCATTCTTGAGCATTCTAGTATGCCGTAGTTGTTCAAACTCAAGTCGTGGTGTCTATGTGAATTCACTTACTATTGCTACTTCAGGAAATTTCAGGGTTGTTTGAAAGAAAGACAAGTGCTTTTAATGTTGTAAAAAATCATGCGTTGAAATCAAGATATGCGTTTTGTTTACATATATATTCGCAGGCTATTACATAAGGCGTGTCTGTATTAATTTGTCACATTGTATTTTACATTTGATTGACAACACTATAAATAGTGATGGGCACAGACGCATTTTTATTGACTAAACCGGCAGGCTCTAATTCAATTCAAAGAGGCTCTAATTCAATTCAACATACTGTAGTTGGATTAGCTTTTTTTGAGACATCCTTTATTATATAACAGTGCGTATATATGTCTCTAGCAGATGTTGATTCAATGAGTAAACCATCAGGAATCCACGAGGGCTTTAACTCTACAAACATGGAGTTTTTATGGACATTGTTACGAGTGAGGGTAGCGAACAAGTGACACCAACCATGAAGTAATCTCTATATATACACTAATTTATATATATTATACCCTTCATACTATATTTCACCTTTAGAGTTGCCAATTTTATCAAAAAAGGATGGCAGGGTGGTGAGCTGGTCTGTTTCTGAATTGTCTTGTGTTTCCAAATCGTTGGGATCTTGCGTTTCCAAATCGTTCGGATCTTGCGTTTCAGAATTGTGACTTTGTGTGTTGTTATTATCTTCTGAAGTGCTTCCTTCATCAAGGGATGATGTCTAAGATATTGAAAAAAAGATTGTTGTTCCATCTAATCAGAGTTGTTTGTTCATCAAAAGATGCTGTTAGTTTTCATTTTAATCAAACTAACTTTTTCTCTGCACCCTTTATCTACAATTTGATCACTTTTTCTTTTCAACGTCCTTCTGTCAACCTGCAAATTATATTTATTCACTATAAATATAGTATCTACTATATGTAAGGCGAAAATGTTTTCAAGTGAAATTTAATAATTTCCAGACCGCATGCAAGCAGAAAATTCTGTCCGCCACAGCTGGGTTTCGGAAATTCTGCTTGTGGCAGGCAGAATTTTCTCCGTGCACGTGGTGGACTGTCTCGCAGCCCTTACTATTTGTAGATCAGTGTATATAGCTTCGGCTCCGAATATAACTTCGGCTCCTTTCAACGTATCTTTTTCGTATTAGTCTTGTTCGAATCACAATCCAACACACTATTTAGAGTGTTATTTTCCAGCTTGTATCTGCAGATTTGTATCTTTTATTTCGGTATTTAAAAATATCTAAATTTCAGCCGGTGGCACGCGCGTGCGAGTAGAAACCTGATATTTTGAAAAATTCAAAATAAATATTTCTGCTCGTCGTATTGAAACGAAACTCTCTACATAAAATCGCTTGAATACAAGGAATATTTTACTGCTATTAACTTGGGCGAATTCTGAAGAGTTTAGAAGATATTCAAGTTTTTCTCGATATGAAATAAGAATGTTTGGCCAAGCGGCAAGTAAATATACGATTGTTTTGGTTTGTGTCATGTTATGACGGCATTTGACCCCCCGTTCGAAAGGTTATTTTATGAGGATTTCAATGGTGGTTTTCGTTTTAAAGGGCGAGTAAATACTTGCCGAGATATTTTAATCTTCCCCACTCCAAAGTCGGAAATGCAAATATGAATCGGACGACAATCCTTCGTCCGCCATTGCAGCGGACACCATCTTGAATGCAGGATTTGCCAGTCGCTTCGCAACTCCTCCCCTTCCCATCGTCCCGCGCGCCCCCATTAATTTTCGTCTTTTACTAATTAATTATTTGATAGCAAGCGACTGGGGACGAGGCAGCGTGGTGGACATTATGAAATATTTCACTCGAGAACATTTTCTCCTTATCATATTACTGAGTGAACATCGACGCAACACATCAACTGAGTGAACATGTACAAATTTTTCATTCCTTTAGCAAGTTCGAAATGATTTGTTTTTAGATGACATATTGTACTTTGCATAGAATATGCAAAACATTTTATTATGCAGAACATTTTATTAAAGCTTATATACTATGTACCACAAATGGGTTAATGCAAATACTTAGTCAATAGCATGTATATATAAAAATATGCCGACTCAATACTCTTCCAATAAATAATCCTTTATATATAGTTAATAATTTGACACATGCACACAATGCATTTGAAGGTGTTGCATACATGCCCAGACTACTTCCTATTCAAAACAATGAGCACCCTAATTAATATCAATAAGTATAAAATTTAGATTACTACACAATTAATTATCTCACCGATGTATAATCATATCCATTCCTTACACTTCGTCGCCTTTCGTTCATGATGTCTATAATGTGCTGCCGAATTGCTGCTTTGTCAAAGCCAACAGTCTCAAATATGCAATCATCCAGTTCATCAACAAGAGCGTCCAGTTGTTCTGTTTCTTGCTTGTTCTTTCTGAATATAGGAATATTGTTGCCAGGCCATTTCTTGATGGCTGCAGCTCTAACAGCTTTCTTCCTAAAATTAAAATGTAACTTAATTAGACATCTAGATATAATATAATGCAACTGTCATCAGAAACAGAGACGAATTTTCATATTTTTGTTCAGGGTGGGGGGGTGGTGGTGGATAAATATCTGGGGGGTGCTGCTGCTTGCTTTGGCCGGGGCGTGGTGGCAACGCCTGGAAAAAGTTTAACAAAATCTGTTTTCTAGGCCTGCATGGCGAGATCTGAGACCATAATATTGGTAATTTTACAAATTTAGTAGTAAGAATTAATAATCAAATCAAACTATACATTATTTGTGGGGGTGCAAAAAGTTTTGGGGGTGGTGCCAAATGCCTCTGCAGGGGTGCAAATCATTTCTGGGTGGGGGGGGGGGTGCGCAACCCCTCTCCCCCAGATCTGTGCCTGATCGGAAACACCCACTTGGGAAACTCATTACTCATGGAGGATTAGACTGCTGAAGAAATGAAAATGCCACACCTATTGCTTGTTTGCAATCAAAGCCAACTTGGTTGATTTTTCAAAACACACATGCATGGCAACTATAAAATTTTATTTCATATTCTTCATTTTTTGTCGTTTTGAGCCAATATAAAGACCGTAAAACTAGCAAAAATACAAAAAGATATGTCAAAACAAGCCAGAAAATATTAAATTAACTCCACTACTTAACTAAAATATCAGACAAGGTGGAAAACTATTTTTCAGGTGAGCATCTTCCTTCAAACCTACACTCCCCATCCCAGAGAAACATAGAGCATAGAAATCTGAAAATGAGAGAGACTGGGATCAACTCTTTCATGCTAAAGCATGCAAGCTGCATGTGTTATAGATTAAATATTTCTTGTTTTTATTCTCTCATTTTCTGATTTCTTAATGCCCTATGTTTCTCCGGAATGGAGAGTGTACTTTTGAAGGGAGATGCTCACCTGAAATAGTTTTCCACCTCGTCTGATATTTTTTACACCTCATTATAAACAATGGATCATATTGACCAATAATTCTGAAGTTCAAATAGCACCATTACAACCCAATTTCCTGATCCCCATGGTGGCAGGAGCGCCCTATGTTGATCAAGCTTCCAAATATGCCTCTGTCAATAACAATCTCTATATATAGTTTTTTTTTTGTATTTCGATTTTGCTGTATAAATGAAGAAACATTTTTTAAGACAACGGTTTCAATTTATATAGTTGTATTGGCTAAAAAAATGTTGCTTGCTAGGTAACACATTTATAAAAAAATACTTACACAGAGGACGATCTCAAAAAATGCAAATATAAACCCATCCTGCCATCACTTTTCTAGTGGTCCGTCACTCTAATGACATAATATTAATATAAAATCTATGCCAAATAGATTTGTGGCGAACCAACAATAAAACTGCAAGATGAATATCTGCCACACAAATATACAGGGTGAAACACAAGGATTGTTAATGGTTAAACCTTAACCGGTACATCACATATCAGTTCTCCATTTTTAATATGTTACTTATTGTACTCCACACTGAACACACTTACTTCGCATTATATACGCGTTTGTTTACTTCGGTGCATTCTTTTAACTCCTTATTTGATGTTTTTTTTCGGGAGACCACAATAGTTACAGGGCTTTCCATTGTTTTTTTGACATCCAGTCGGGAGATGACAAGTCGCTGAAATTTAAGTTGTGAACCTACTGTATTCAGTCCACAACGTTCAAGCTGAGAAGTTGTCCCTTTGGTTGCAAGTAATTCAATGGCAAAGCCGTCAATCTGTTGGTCTACAGATGTAAAAAATATTTATGTGTATTATTATCGAATCCTGATGTCAATTGTTAAAAGATAGACTGATGAAAATACGTTTATAAAAGCGACGTATATTTATTCTATACGTAAACGGGCACACGACCGAAGTCAGTTCAGACACAGTACGTGCACATTTTGTTGCAACTTCTTCCCCAAAATTTTTTTTATCCAGTCCAATACATCTTCTTCAGTCATACTCTGAAAGTCAGACATCTTACATATAAAATGCGTATACTACTTTAAATCTTCTTTATTCCTTGCTGCACAGTTTTCATGCTTCGGTGCTTCTT